CCCCCCCCATAGTCTTTTGCCTGGCGTTCTACTTTAAACATTGCTTAAAAACTAACATTCATCTCTGGCCATCATAAAGAAATTGCTGGAATACTGCAGCAATGGGATAGTGATGGATCTGCATCAGGATTTGCTCTGCCTGTAATACAAAAGTTTCTGTGTAACTTAGTGATGCTAAGCTCTGGAATTAAATCTTAAAAGTGCATTCATCAAACCATTTGTGTCATTTTTAAGTGACATTGAGGTCTAATTTTTTAGTGAGATTGTAGTCCATCACAGGAGGGAGCTTGGAGCGGTGACTACTTTACAACACACACAGGGACCATGGGGAACAAAAGTAGTCCCCCTCCAGAAGGAAGGACAGTGTCAGCACCAATTCAGAGATGATTTGAGGGTCTACATCCGAGTGATACACAAATAAGATACATTTCTCTTAATAGTTCAGGTACTTGAATTGATTTTTTCAGATTTAACCCCAGAGTTACAAAGTTATTCAGGTTATTCAACTTTTTCAATAATCGATTATGTCGATTAGTTGTTGCAGCCCTAAAAAATACACACGTCCATCGAGTTCCACCTTTGGAGTTAAACCTTAAAAGCGTACTTTGAATGTTGCTGAGTGCATAACCCAAAACAAAAGTTTATCCACCCAAATCGGTTTAGGAACTAGTGATGCAAAATCTTCTTTATAGTGACTTCTGAAGTTGGACTAAGCTGTACCTTGGAGCTATTATTGTATGCCAGGTTTATACATTTCTCTGGTTCTTATTTAATCTTCTCCATTGGATCTCAGCTGCAGGAAGAGGGGGCCGAGAAGGAGCGGCTGGAGGATTGTATGAGACCCGAAACTCACCAGCTGATCGAGGCACAGGCCTGAGGATTACACTGAGGTCAGTGACCGGTCCACACTTCAGACCTCTCAAGGGAATGAATATCGGGACTCTTTAGATGAAAATGTTAGAGAAACCGTACTCTGGGTCAGGGCATTTATGTTTCATACTTTCATATCCAGCTTTCTAAATCCCTATGGTAGCGGGTAGTATGTTCATTAGCCCAGAAACTGAGCCTGTGAAAAAGCAGGCCTGTGTGCTCAGTGGTTCGGACACCACACGGTATGGGCCAGTACAGCCTGACCTACATACGGTGGATCAGGAGAGGAAGTGTGAGCTTAGAATCATTTGACAAGAAGCTGCAGTCCTACTATAATGCCTGTCAGAAGTATGTAAAGCTGCAAGTACTGGAACTCAGAAAACTAGACTACCCGCCATGTTCCTCTACCACAGTGGTTCTCAACCTGTATAACCTCAGGACCCACATTTGTCCTTAAGTCGCGACCCAAGTTGCACCACACTGGAATGCAGAGCATTGCGGTACCGCATGTTCAAGTGCAAGTGATCAAACTGTGGGCTGGAGGTGTGTTTTGCATTCCAATCAAATTAATGGCAACGCAGCAGAACTCCGCACCAGCTTCCATGTGGCCATACCTCCAGCCTACCCCACCTCGGGATGAAACTTGGCACTAGGCAGCATATTTTGAATGTCTGCTCGGCGTGAGAACTGACGATGCCGGCCTAGGGGGAGGCTTAGGAGCCTCACCTAGTTCAGTGGAAAGCATGCAGCGACCCACTGAACATGGGGTCGCGACCCACTTTTGGGTCACGACCCACCAGTTGAGAACCACGGCCCTAACAGACACGACTGTTCAGTGAGGACACGTTTTGAAACCCAATTATCTGAGTCATTTTTCATGCATCTTTAGTATTTATATTTATGCCGCTTCCTCTAGTGCCCGTGTAGCCAAATTTCGTCCCTCCTGCTACACAAATCCCATCATGAACATGCCTGTGGCTGTCAGTCTTGCAGACAGTGCCTTATGGGACTTGCAGTTCCACAACATACTGGAGTGCTGAAGTTTGGCTCCACCTCTTTAGTGGTTGTCTGTCAGGCTGTGCAGCAAGAATCCTGCTAAATGATTGCTGTCCATGAGACCTGTTAGCTGCATAGAGAGTCTGCAGGCAGTATGAACAGACTGAACATTAGCAGAGGAGCATTGCAGTATTACTGAGCAGGAAGTATAACTTTCATATGTAATGAGCAAATATGGATGTACATGTATGCAGATTTGTTACATCTATATTAAACAGAGCTTCCCTTTACATCTCCCCCATTGTGTCCTGAATAGCTTGAAAAGTCAAGTTGTATTTTTGCTGTTATTGGCACTAAACATTTTTTTTCCCCCCCCCCTCCAGATGTTGAATAATGAGGGCTGTGCGGACATATTTATGTGAGATTTATCATTGGGCCTAGATAGCCGGGATATGAAAACTTGAACAGTCACATTGCTTCTCTACAAAATGCCTTCCAGCTGAAACACTACCATTGCCTGTGACCTGCAGGAGCTGCTGCTTTTTGGGGGGTTTTTGTATTTTTTTTTTTTCTTTGTTTCCTGTGTGATGCTTTTTTTTTTTTTAATATATTTTATATTGAATAAACCATAGCTTGAGTTTCCTGTTTTTTGTTTTGTGGTTTTCAAAAGAGATCATGATGATGGTTTCTGAAAAATAAATATATTTTCAGGACATAAATGTGCCTTTTTGTTTGGGTGGCGGGGTGCGGCGGAGTGAGTTATATGTGCAAAAGCATTGCGTGATATCTCCTGGCAACACTTTAAATATACAAGAAATAAAAATGGCTGTGCACATTGGTGGCTCTATAAAGGGACACGTGGATGAGCTCTGCCTGGTGCCTGAACCAGAGTATCTGGATATCGGGGCTACTGGGGGGGCCTTCCACCCCATTCACACTGAGCGACATGGATATTGTGCGTTTTTTCGCGCAGAGCGGGCAGGAGCTACATTGCGGGATATTGAGTGACATTGCAAATTTTATCGTGCTATGTAGTACGTTTTTTTTTTTGGGCTGTAACCAATCAACAGCGATCTTGATGTGACATCATTCTTTCCTTCCATTTTGCAGTGCAAAAGTGATCCTTCTGTAGCGCGATATCACTCAATATCGGCGGTAATGCGTGATTTTGCGCGACGCCATAGTCTATTGGAGCCGTGATGGAGGGAGCAAGATGAAGCAGGAAATAAAGGCACTTCTGACATCATCCTTAAGACCAAGGGCAAGTCCCATTTCGGAAATAACGGTTTAATAGGAGGCCTGATCTTAATAGCAGCTTGCAAGAATTGCTTAATCATACTATGTTCCGCCCACCGACTCTTCGTTAAGGCTGAAACTTGAACCCGAAGTGTGTTGTAACTGAGCCCATTATTTAGGGCTGATTGTAGAAAATCTAAAATATTTCCCGCCGATGGACTTTCTGAATGCCATCCCTCCTTCACTGCCATGGAGAGGAACTTTTCCCACACCCGATAATAGGTAGTTGTGGTTGAAGTTTTAGTCGCTCTTAGGGGGGTCTCCATGACTGGGGCTGACAACTGTAAACATTGCAACCTCTGCCTTTCAATCTGCAAGCCGTCAAATTCAGGCTGGTGGTCTAGCACCCCAATGTCTAGCAGGTGATAACGGTTTGACCGTCAGAGGCGTGAGTGGGCGCGGGTTAGCAGTAATTGGCCTAGAAGAATCCTGGGATGAGACCCTCCCAGGTCTAGGATTCATGGATAAGGATCTCCTGTGGGATTTTGATTTTTGTTTCCCTTTGTGTTTTGGGCTCTTCCCCCTGAAAGACATACCCCGGATCCATAAATACATGCACTCTTTTAAATCACCCAAAAAAAAATATACTTAAAAATCAAAAATTGCCCATTCACTATCTCTCTGATAAACTTCGTGCCTGCTTGCCTGGGCTATTAGGACGCATGCTGGAAAACCTGCGAAAAACGTACAATTTTCGGCGGCATGCTTGGAAGACGAATGCCGCAAGCGCACACTGCACTCATCAGAAGCCCTCCCCTCAGCGGGGAGGGCTTGCGATGATCGCAAGTACGATCTGCCTGTCCAAGATGGGCAGATCGTACGTTTTAAAAAAAATTACTTTACAACCATCGCAAGACAAAAGTCTTGCGAGGGTTGAACAGTGTATGGCCACCTTAAGTGTTTAGGCATCCATCAGTGGACAGACAAATTGTCTATAAATGGAAACAGTTCAGTACTGAGGTCACTCTTACTAGAAGTGGTCGCCCAGCCAAGATGACTCACAAGGCATAATGCAGAATCCTCAGGGTCAGATAACACCATAAGCAATGCGTTCCGGTCCAATTCTGGCCGGAATCGCACTGACTCGCATTGTGGCCGGCTCACTTTTTTGCGGAGCTGGAGGGGGCGTGGTGGGCCATTTAAGTGAATGGCACCGTAGAGACGCCCTCTGGCCGCACGGGATCGCAAGGCACATTGTGCCGGCAGTGCGGTGCAATCAAAATGCTGCAAGCACTATTTTGATCACACCGCAGTCACAATGTGCCTTGCGTTTCCGTGCGGGTGATCACATTGCAGCTGGAGGGCGTGGCTACGGTGCCATTCACTTCAACGGCCTGCCACGCCCCCTCCAGCCTGGCAAAAAAGTGAGCCGGCCGCAATGTGAGTCAGTGCGTTCTAGCCACAATCGGACCCTGGACGCACTGCTTATGGTGTGAACTAACCCTCAATGAGGTAAAGAAGAACTCATGAGTAACAGCTGAAGGCGTCACTGGAACTTGCAAACATCCCTGTTCATGAGCCTATCATGGGTAAGTCTTTGAACAGGCAAGGCCTGCCAGAGTTGTGCACTGGCACTTTATTTTATGCACGATTGAGCACTTTTTCTACTTCACAGAAGACGGAGTGTGTGGGTACCTTTCCGGGTCCTTCTGATGTCGGGGGGGAGGGGTGGGGGGTGTTCTGTGGCCTCTACGGGCTCCCCCCAACCCAGGGGTCTCTCTTGGGACAGCCCCCACCTAGTACTCGGTGGACCTGTTTCGGCAGGTCCATGAGGAGAGGAATCCACCGGCCTTCGGGTAGGTGGACCTAAGTCATCCTTTCCCGTCAGGAGCCTTGTTCCCCAGGGGTTCAGGAAATCGAGGCGCTTCCTCTTCGGAGGAAGTCCAAAGCACCCTTGTGCACTTTTTTTCTTTCAGTGTGCTGTGATTTCACGGTTCACTTTTTTTGTTCACAGGGGTGAAGTTTGTCTTTGATGCACGCATCGCGGACAAAAAAAAAAGTCTTTCAACAGGCAGGGTGTCCATGGCATAACACCACGGAGGAAGTCACTGCTCTTCCGGAAATAAAAACATTGCTGCACTTCTGAAGTTTGTCAAAGAGCCTCTTGGCAAACCACAACACTACTGGGAAAATGTTTTGTGGACCGATGAAACAAAGTTTTAATTGTTTGGGAAGAATACTTTGCACTGTGTTTGGTGCACAAAGGGCACAGCTTACCAACATCAAGACAAGGCCAACGCTGAAGTATGGTGAAGGGAACATCACGAGTTGGGCTTTCTTCACTGCCTCGGGGCCTGGACCTTGCCATCATCGAGGGCAGAATTAATTCAAACGTTTACCAGAATGTCAGGGGGGCTATCCGCCAGCTGAAGCTTTCTAGAATTTGGGTGATACTTCAGGACATTGACCCTAAGCATCAAAGTAAATCCACTACTAACTGGCTTCAGGAAAAAAAGAAAATGTGCCCTTTGGAGTGCCCCAGTCAGAGCCCAGACCTTAACCCCATAGAGATGCTGTGGAATGACCTCAAGAGAGCGTTCACACCAGACATCTTACAAATGAGTCTGAGGTGAAGCAGTTTTGTAAACAGGAATGGTCAAAAATTCCCCCTGAACATTGTACAGGTCTGATCCAGAGCTAACGAGAGCACTTGCTAGAAGTCATTGCTGCCAATGGAGATTCAACCAGCTATCAACTCCAAGGGTTCACTCACTTTTTTCCTCCAGCACTGTGAATGTGTAATGGGCGTGTTCAATAAAGATAACATACAAAATTCTAATTTATTGTATCAGCTTAAGCACGTTGAGGGGACTTTATCAAAATCTGGAACAGTTGCCCATGGCAACCAATCAGCTTCTTTCTTCAGTTTGTTCAGTTAAGATTTGGAAATGAAAGAGAGAAGCTGATTGGTTGCCGTGCACAGCTGCTCCAGATTTAGTCTGCTCCAGTTTTGATAAATTCCCCCCGAATGTGTTTCTCTGTTGTAGTGACCTAGAGGAGGATCAGGACAACTCCTCTCTGTGAGACAGCAATGGTCTATCTCCAGAAGTCAGACGTGTCCCCACCACCTTGTCACACCTCCAATCGGCAAAGCCCATGCTCCCTTCCCAATACGCTACATCCCTGGGTGGGTGTCACAAATATGTAGATTAGGATCTGCGACATTACAAATCTATACTGAAAAGTAGCGGGAATGCAACAGCCAAATTCCTTCGGAAAATGTGACTTGCCTGGCTGCCCTGCTGTTCTTTAGCCTTTGAATCCCCGACCTTTATATCCGAGTGCAGACAGTGAACACAGAATCCCTCATCCACATACTTGTTCCAGGTTTGCGAGTCAAAATGATTGAAACCACAAGACCGCCGATGACTTATTTTATAGTTTGTGGAACTTTTATTACATTACCAGCAAAGGAAGTGAAACGCACAGCATCCAATCAGATAACTTCCAGCACGGGGGAAATGATACAGCCGCCATCTAATCATTAGAAATAACCAATGTAGAGTTCAGCAAAGATTGAATATGTCATTTGTAAAGAGGAGTCGTGATTTGCACATTTCATCAAAGTCCAACTCTAGCTGAATTATATTTTGACTACAACAGGGAAGGGTTAAAGCCTCTGTCACATTTTTACTACTGTCTGTTGCCCTCTTGGCACAATATCTCCTCACTTCCTGTGCTGATCTCTCCAATGGGGACACAGAAAAAGAAATGTACAGAACGATTATAATCACTGGCAACCAGCGGTGTAACAATTGCCATAGTGACCCAGGCGGCCTCTATAGGGACAGGGGGGCCCAGCCAAGACATCCCCCAGATGCCATGCGGGCCGCCTGGATCGCTGTGGCATCTCAGGCTGCGACCATGGAGGCGGACAGCAGATCGGGGCTGACAGGTAAGAGGCGGGCCCGACGAAGGAAGAGGAGGCGCGGCCTGCCATCGACCATGGAGACGGACAGCGGATCGGGGCCGGCAGGTAAGAGGTGTGCAGCCCACCTGAGACCCTGCAGAGCCCACCATAGAGGACATTGAACACCTTCAGTGTCTATTTATAAACCATTTGCAGGAGCGGCTTATATCTATAAACCTTTGTTTGTGTGAACATATGCAAAATGAATGTTCTTTAGTTTTTTCTTTACAAATCGAATGTAATTTTGAATTTTATTAATGTAATATGTAGATTTCAGTATTAGATTATGGCCACTGGATGGCGGGGAGGAGCATTAAATAAAAATAGTTATTTCCTATGCTCCTCAGCTCCCTCCAGTGGCCAAAATGCAATACTACATTGAATTAATAACATTGGGAATTATTATTACGGTATTATTATAATACAGGATTTATATAGCGCAGTTTGCGCAGCGCTTAACAATATAAGGAAGACATTACAATCACAATACACTTCAAGACAAGATGGTAAGGAGGACCCTGCCAGTGAGGGCTTACAATCTAAAATTACATTCGTTTTGCATGTATTCTCACAAAATGATTGTTTTATAGATATTCACAGGGTAAGAGGCCCTGCAAATTGTTTATAAATAGACCTCCTTTTGTTTCGATGCCAGGGATCCCAACCCAAAAAAAGCAATTTCAGGGAGGTGCCCTTCTCATTTCATGTAGGTGTTCTCTGTTCCCCCTGGGGGGGGGGGGGGAGCACCGCCCTGAAATGATGGCAGATAGCGAAGAAGCTAATGCTTCCCGTGCTATCTGTTTTGTTTAGTTTTTTACAATTCTGACAGCTGCTGCCATCAGAATAAGAGGGCATAGAAATGAATAGCTAGATTGCTATTGGCTATTTGAATTTGCAATAGTCAATAGCAAGCTGCCTATTGCACCTGCCCACTGCTGCTGTCAATCAGCCGATAGAGGACCTGATGGAGAACGTCAGGTCCACCTCGGCTGATCGACAGCAGCAGTGGGTGGGTGCAATAGCAAGTGCTATTGGCTATTGCAAATTCAAATAGCCAATAGCAATCTAGCTATTCATTTCTATGCCGTCTTTTTTTTTTTCTTTTTTTTTTACACTGACAGCGACACCGGCCAGCAGGGAAAGGTGCTAGATCGAGCAGAGTAAATCTTTCCGGGAGAAAATGTTTCTCTCCCAGGCGGCCGGGAGCTGCTATCTAATAGCCGGAGTCTCACGGAACGTCTGTGAGAGTTGGGATGTCTGTGATGCGCCTGGAATGTATTTAGCCGATTTAAACTGAAGGTTCAACTGATCTTATAAATATCCATTTCTATGTGCAATACACCACAATGTGCACAACTCCCAATTTCTAAAAATCGTGATAACTCGCACCGTTCAGCATTTGAGAATTTAGTAAAAAATGGATAATCTGACTTGATCTGTTCCACCTTATTTGAGTGACACAGTACCCTGAACTCTTGTTTGCTGTGGGACATGTCCCATGTTGCTAAAGATCACCTTCAGGGCATCTGGTCCTATCTTGCATAGAATGTTAAAAGTAATGTAGTTCTTCATCCTTTAAAAGCCATGTGTAGAAAATGTTCTCCTGCGGAGGTGTATAACCATCCATGATCCAGTTTATCAGTCACTGCAATGTGATATCGACATGTAGTCAGTCTGATGTACTTCTGATTAACACGGCAGAAGTTCCGTTCCCAGCCTCTTCTTCTGATTCCCGCTGGTCAGAATGAAATCCATGTGTATGAGGCTCTTCCCTAGGTCTGTGTTCATTCTGCTGCCAATATTCTGATTGGTGGTGTTGGGTACTTGGTCCGAGAAAATTGTCACTTGTTCAGGTAGCTTTTCTACTTCTTTTTTATTGCCCTAAACAGGTCATGAGACAAAAAATGGGTTTTAGTTGGGTCTATGATAAGTGGTAAAATAAAAAATGTGAACATTGTGTATTCCTTCTCACTGGTTGTCAATGGAGAAGCGACCCCTCAAATTGTTGGTCTTTGATGTGCTCTCCCTGTGTATTGCTGATTAGTGGAGAAGGGTCCCCCTTATATTGGTGGTCAGTGGAAGATTTACGATGGTGGTCATTGCGAAAAATGCTGCTTACAAGGTCAGTGGGAAGAATGTTCCTTTCATTAATGGTCACTGGAGTAGTGCCCCTCAAATTGTACATTGGAGATCTGTGGAGAAGGGTTCCCTTATATTGGTGGTCAGTGCAAGATGGAACCCTTTACAATGATGGTCAACGGCCTCTTTACACTGGTGGCCAGTGGAAAGAATGCTCCTTATACTGGTGGCCAGAGAGAATAATTCTCCTTATATTGGTGGTAAGAGAGAAGAATGCTCCTTACATTGGTGGTCAGTGGAAAAATACACCTTACAGTGGTGGTCAGTGGGAAGAATGCTCCTTACATAGGCGGTCAGTGGGCAGAATGCTCCTTATACTGGTGGCCAGTGGGAAGAATACCTCTACATTGGTGGTCAGAGAGAAGAATGCTCCTTACATTGGTGGTCAATGGGAAGAATGCTCCTTACATTGGTGGTCAGTGAGAAGAATGTTCCTTACATTGGTGGTCAATGGGAAGAATGCTCCTTACATTGGTGGTCAATGGGAAGAATGGCCCCTTAGATATAGCAATAATGATCATTGGCGTCAGTGGTTACTTATCTGAGTCAGAAATTTCTCATTGCTCATGGAAACCCTAGCAAACTCTGGGGGAACTCTGGGGTTCTATGGAACCCTTGTTGACAAAGGCTGCTCTAAGGCCATTGTTCATACAGGCTGAAGTGCAATGGTCATAGCTAGCAGCTCTATGACATTTGCCCAGAGACTTTAACTAATCATTTTGATTACCTGGTCTTTGGACCAGCAGAAGTTTGCTGTGGCCTTGCCACCATTAGGCTGGCAGGGGTAGGGACATCAGTGCCAGCACTATAGAGAAGAGAACCAGGAGAAAGTGTAACTTGTGCTTTCTCCTTTCCACCAGAAAAGACAATACCAGTGATGTTAACTGGACACCAGTCTGTCTTCCCTCCCCTTCCAGTTACTCCAGGCCTCCAGGTGGAAGCATATAATGGTCTCCTTCTCCCTCTGCCATACATGTCCTCAGTGGCCAGAGGGATAATGAGATCTCCACATGCTGCTTCCTGGAGGCCTGGAATAAAATGCAGTGGGAGGGGAGGCAGACTGATTTCCAATTACTGTTCTTGTCATTGCCCATATATTATCACAATTGCCCATTTGTTGCTGGTGACTTGTGATAATTGCCTCTTTGCTGCCCATGTATTGTAACAATTGCCCAATTGTAGTCCATATAATGTCAGGAATGCTTTTGTTCGCTGTTTGTTTAGAGGACCCTATTGCAATAATTGAATCCCTTGTTGGACTGTCACCAGCAAACCACACAGCAATTATCTGCTATTCTTCCTGTGTGAGCTGCTATTTAACTCTTCAATTCTACAAACCTCCCTTTTACCATGGCAAAGCAACACATTCACTCTACAACCAATGCACATCCTGATCTTGCCTTTGTTCCTCTGACACTTGTTTGGATCATTTGGAACAAGGAGCTGATGCTCTATGTAAGATTTATGTCATGACCTGGAGCTTAAATCCCAACTCCACTCAAATAGCTCCCTCTCATCCCTCTCCCTGATCCCCCATCTCACCCATCCTGCCAGGTGTTTCATTTTCCTTACCAGTTGAAGTAAATTATTCTCACCTGAGTCCCCCCATCCAAGTCCCTCGCTGACGCTCTTTCCGCAATGGGGAAGGCTAATCCAGTAACCCTCGCCGGCCAGTGCCCTTGACTCCCACAATCTCAGTAGCCCAGTAATTGATGTCACTGCTTGCCAGGAGCTGAGTGGGACGTTCTGGCCTCCACTGGACTGCATCTGAATGCACATTTTAAGCTAAAAAACCCCGCCCTGGAACACATCAAAAAAGCATAAAAAACGCATTAAAAATGCACTGCACCATGTTTGCAGTGCAGATCTGATCTGGACATAGTGCGAACAAGCCCTTAACCCCTTCACGACCAACGATGTACAGTGTATGCCGCTGGCATCGGGGCTGTTTAAACAGAAAGCCGCCGAGACTCTGTTTAAACTTGTAAAGTCAACTGCCGGCTTTACAGTAGAAGCGATTCTGGCAACTCAGCTGTCGCCAGATCACTTCTACGGGCCGCTGAAGGGGTCCCCCCCTGCCCAACACCCCCGCCGTGTTTCTTGGGCTCCGTTGGCCCAGGACCGGCTTCTCTGGTGTCAGCGGGGAGCTGGGGAGGAGATGGACGAACCTCCGTTCACCGATCTCCTCCCCGTATTATGGAACAGAGAGCGATGCAGATTACATCACTTCCGGTCCCATAGCTGTCAGTGCTGAGCTCCTGAAGCCCAGCAATAAGCTATTGAAGTGCGATCTGCTTCCTCTCCTGTAGCCTTCAACTGTCACCATTTTATTCTACAGGGTCTTGGCTTTCAGGAAATATATCATGTTTGGGGGTTTTAAGTAATTTTCAGGCCTAAAATGAGGAATATAACAGGTGCAAATAGTTTTTTTTTAAAAAGGCCTCAGTCATGAATGGGTTAAAGGGGAACTCCAGGCGCAGCCAGGAAAGTAGCATTTTCAGAAGGCGGTCAGCTATAGTAATCTTTTCTTTTTCTAGGTCAGGTTTGTTCTTAGAAGCGCGTCTTACCAGTGCATCATACTCCTTCAGGAAGCTCCAGTTTTCATGCCTACGAGGAGAAAACAAAAAATCATCACTTTGTACCGGCAGCAGCTCCGACCATCCTGAGATAGTCCATAATAACCCCCCCAAGACCAGTGGCGGGCAACCCGGCCCTCCAGCTGTGCTTTAACTACAAATCCCAGCATGCCCCTTCCTCTGGGAGCCATGCCTGTAACTGTCAGCCCTGCAAAGCCTCATGGGACTTGTAGTTCTACAACAGCTGGAGGGCCGGAGTTGCCCAGACCGCTAGACAGACAAATTATTTTTATGAGCACACCCCCCCCCGGGAACAAATATAGAGAATTCATGGGGAGCCATGTGACCAGAGCTTTCCACATAATACAAGTGACGGGAGATATCCGAAACAGGGACAAAGAGAGAAATAAAAAGAAAGTGAATTATTTTCTACTTTATACAAAACTAAAGAAAAATAATAATAATAATAATATAAT